TTTCTCTGGGCCGTGTTTGGGCGGCGGGGATTGTGACGGGACAATCTTTTTTTTTTTTTTTTTTTTTTAAAAGCACTTATTTTTCTCCTTTTATACAGCTGCTCTATAATAAAGCCGGCAGCGTAGTGGTTTTTTGGAGAGCATTGTCTCCCACCTTATGGCGCTGAGATTGACCTGCTTGTGTTGGCCGTGCCTGGCCGATCTGCTTGGAGCGGGCTTGTATGTCAAATAAACTGACTGAACAGAAAGAATTGAGCTGAAAGACCTCTTTTCCCCTGTTTGCATGGGCTCTCCTCATGTCTGGATGCCAGCAGGTCTCTCTCTATCAGAAAGAGCAGCTTTTGCAGTTGTCTACCCTGGGATACGCTGTCCCTTAGCCTGTGTCAGGCAGGGCCCCACACAGTGCTCGGCTGATGACTGTAGCCTCTCTAACTCCAGGTGTCTGGTTCAGTCCCCAGTTTCCTGGGGTTCCCCTGGGGGTGTGGAGAGCTGCAGTTTGCGGGCTGCTTTCCTAGCACCTAATGTGTGCTAAAAGGGTTTGCAGAGTGGCTGCCAGCCAGTGCTCAGGGCCTTGGCCAAGGGCAGAGAAGAGGAGAAATGAAGAGGTTAATTCAGCAAATACTGCTGTGCCGTGCTTAATAACGGGCCCAGGAGAGGCATGGACAGCCATGGCCATCTTTTTGTATCTGCTCTGCTAACTAGTGGACAGTTGAGGCACCAGTCTGCTCAGTGAGCTGCTGTGGAGGCTCCCTTGGCCCAGACAAAGGGGTAGCCAGCTGGTGGCACTGGATTGCCCCCCAGGCAGCTGCCAGCCCTGTGCAGAGCTTGGAAGCTGGAAACTGCCAGGTGTGTTAGCCTCAAGTGGGTGACAGGAGCATTCCTACCTGAACCATCCTGGAGGGATGCTGGGGCTGCAGGGGTCACAGCCTGCTTGGCTCAGCACCTGAAATAGGGGATGTACCCCCCCCCCAACCCCCTAATGGGTCACCGCAGTTGGGGATCCCAGGGCTTTGGCCGTGCCTGCCTCCTGCCCAGCCCAGCCGGTGTCCCAGGCCACCGGGGTGGCTCCTCTGTGACCTCGCCGTCGAGTCAGTGTCGGGGTGCGCCATGCGGTGCTGGCTCCTGCTGCTTGCCCTGCTGCTGGGGGCTGCCCGCCCACGGCCCCTGCGCCAGAGGTGACGGCGCTTCCCCCCGCTCCTCCTCCTCCTCCCTGCCCCGGTACCTGCAGAGGTACCCCAGGGCTCCTGGCCTAGGCGTGGGCTGGCACTTGTGGCACCAAGCCCTAGAGAGCTGGCCGGGCTGGGTGAAGATAAGTGGTGCATGGGAGCTGTTGTGTCAGCATGGGTGAGCGCTGTAGGGTCTCGGCTCACTCCTGCCCCTGGTTATCCTCCACAGGGTCAGCTACTGGGTCCCTGAGGACTTCTCTGCTCCCCTGGAGCTTCCACAGCAGCACTTTGGCCTGGTGGACGGTACAGTGCTCTCCTCACCCCTCTGAACCCCCTTTCCACGTGCTCACCCCTCCAGATGGGTGGTTGTCCCCAGCCCCACGAGCAGCCCCACAGCTGAGCCCAGCCTCTCTGCTCTCCCCACAGATTATGGCATCAAACCCAAGCAGCCTCGCTTCAGGACCCGGGCAGCCCGGGAGCGGCCAGCAGGGCTGCGCAGAGCTGGCAAAAGCAAGCGCGATGAGCTTGACTTGCTGGAGTACTACTATGATGCCCGCCTCTGAGCCAGCGTGCCCCTATGCCCACTGCAGCCCGGCCTCTGGGACCCACCTGCCTCCGCTGCTGCAGGACGGGGTAGGTGTGGAGTGTAGCAATGGCCGGGGGGGTAAGGGTAAGCCCTGCTTAGGGTGGGGGCTGGAGCAGATGACCTCCAGCAGTCCCTTCTGATCATCATACGATGATCTCTGGCCTCCAGGGATTGCAGCTGGGCTCTCAGGCCAAACCTGAGAAGCTCCAGCTCCTCTTGGGGTTCCAAGGGAAGGAATGAGCCAGAGCCCAAACCCACTGTGGTGGGACACAAACAGCACAGCAGCCCTGCTCCATGAACCATCATATTTAATAGTTGTTGCCATCACAGCAGATCCAGCTGAAGCACAGAGACCGCTGGCTGCAGGGACGGGGAGAGCTCTTCTACCGCCCCGGTGTTTTGCACGGCTCCCTGCAGGCTTTATTCCTCCCCTGCCCCGCTTCTGACAGGGACCCAGCTCTGCGCAGGGGCTAAGCCCCACCGCCCTGGGGTGGCCCAGCCCTGCCGCTGCCTCTGGCACCTGCAGCTGGGGGGAGAGGGGGAGAGGGGCAGAGAAAGTCTCCCCTCCCAAGGGTGTAGTTACTGCAGGGAGGTATGGGGCGGACTTTTCTCTCCCCAGGGCACAGAGACAAGAGGGAGGCGTGGTGATGGGGGCAGAGGCAGGGGTGAGCTGGCTCAGCTCAGCCTGGTGCTGGCACGCCTCTGGCAGAGGAGATACTGGGGCTTCCTCTGTCATCCCTGCCCAGCAGCCTTGGCCCCAGGGCCTGGCAGGGAGGCAATGCCTGCCCAAGGCAAGCCCATGCCCCAGGCATGAACCTGCACGTGGGCCTTGTTTGCTGTAGCTGCTGCGTCTTCATACTGCGACAGTCCGACTCTGCCACTGCATTAAAAGTCACCCCAGAGGGATGTGATGGGAAGCTGGGCCATGGTCACGAGGAGGAGACGCTGTCACCCCAGCCTGCAGCAGGAAAGGGCCAGAGCATGCTGCTGCTCACCCCTCCGCTGCTCACAGGCAGGGCACCCAGCGGGTGCTTCTCCAATAGAATAAACTAAGAATATTTTGTACAATAAACACAATTTGTCCAGCCCTCCCCCCTCCCATCCCCCCCAGCCCAAGGAAGGGGAGTCATGAAAAGAGGCGGCGCTCCGTGCCCCAGGGAGCCCTGCCCCGGGCCCGCTCCTTCTCCAGGCTCAAAGCAGCTCTTGTCCATGCACGACACGGGGAAGGGGCAGATGGCAGCCCTGGCTGTGCAGGAGGTGCCTGTGCCAGCCCCTACTCCAGGTAGATGTCCTCCGTGGGGCACGTGTACTCCACATACTCCTTGTAGAATTGCTGAAAAGCCCTCCTGCAACACAGCACCCGGCAAAGCTGAGCAGCGTCCTCCCCGAGACGCGTGTACAAAGCCGCTTTCCTTCTCACCCTCTCTCCCTACCCTCCAGCCAGTTTGACCCTCTAGCCCCCCAGCCCCTCCCGCATTAGCACCCAGAGCTGCCATCAGAGCCACAGGGTATCCATCCTTGCTCTGATTCCCTGCACAGCACATGACTTTCAGCCATCTGCCTGCAAAGCCTTGCCCTGGGATTTGTTCCAGTGCTGTCAGGAATATGCTGCCCATAGCCCTGGCTCTCGCCCCAGGCCTCTCACTTGAGGGAAGAGGTGCCAGCCTGGGGCCAGGCCCAAGCCCCACACGTAGGGGGAGATGGCAGGATTCATCCTGGCTGCCTCATTCCTCCTGCCCTTTGGGAGCAAGCGCCTCCCTCCCTGCCCAGCCAGGACTCACCCTACGGACTCGGCCAGTGGCTTCGTGGACTCCTCCGAGACGAAGACATGACAGGCAAATCTGTGGTCAGCAGGATGCTTGGTGATGAACCCAAAATATCTGAGGGCAGAGAGAGTAGGTGTGACTGGACCAGCAGAGAAGCAGGCACAGGTACCCCAACATCCCCAAGGTGTACCCACCCTTGAGCATAAGGTTTTGGGACCTCCACCCCCGCCCCCAAACCCTAGTGGTCACCAGCTGCCACATCCCGTGCCTAGAGCTGGGATGTAATTCCCATCCAAAGGCTGCTTTTGCATGAAGCCGCAGTGCTGGGCTCACAGGGAAGGGGAGCCCTCAGGACCCTTCCCAGCCCCAATTGCACTGCCCCCAGGGAGCAGGAAGGCAGCAAAGCCTCCGTGCCGAGATGCTGGCATTGAGAGCCGCCCCGCGCCTCCCTGCTACTCACTTGTTGTTCTTTGGATGGTACCCACAAAAGGAAATGTTCTTCAGCTGGAAAAAATGGCTACACTTGTTTACCTGGGGGGGGGAGAGAGATGAACTGTCAAAGAGTTCCTCCCCACCACTCTGTGGGGCAGCCAGTCTCTGGCCCCTGGAAACACGCACTTGGGCTGTGCAGTGAAAGGAATTGGAGCCTGATCCTGGGCTGCTACCTGCAGCACTTCAGGATGGCCCCAAGCACCCGCACACAGGGTGCTCTTCCAGGCAGCCCGGCTGGCTCCCACCCCAGCTGCCTCCACCTCCAGCAGCTCCTGCGGAGCTTCCCTGGAGGCCCTGGGTTAGGCTGCTGTTTGCCTGGTGCACACAGCCCTTCTCCCTCGCTAAAAAGGCTCTCAGAAATACCAGCAGATAGAAGGTGAATGGATAACTTAGTTCTAAGTCATTCAAGCCTGGGTATTCAAAAGGTCCCAGCTAGAAATGAGAACTTATTTATATAAGTTTAAAGAGCAACCAAGTTGATGGCATCCTGTAAATACAGGCAGGACTTGTAGAAACCCCAGCCCAGGTCCCTACCACAGCATCCACAGCCATGAACTACTCCTGCCCCCAGCTGTAGGGGAGGTTTCCCAAAGGCTTGCTGCAAAGCGCTTGTTTGCCTCTGCCCAGCATCTTGCCATGCTTTGCTAGGCTACTTATGCAGAATGCTAATCAGCAGCCTGCCATAGCCAGCTAAAGAGATTACAGGGCAGATCTGGAGGACACCACTCAAAATAGTAGCAGAAGGGTTTAGGAGCAGCTGACAGATTACCAGGGGTGGCTCAGCTCGCAGCATCCCAGCACAGCTATGTGCTTGGCAACTGCAAGGGCATCAGCCGGCGGTACAGCCCAAAGCTGGGAGCCCGTGGGGCATGAGGGACCCTGAGGTGGGCCTACAACCCTGCTGATAGTGTTTTTCACACCCTTAGATGGGTGGAGATCCTCCATTTTCATATGCAAACATGACCTGTAGCACAGGGGGCACGAGCCAGCAGCCGAGGAAGGGACGAGACGAGCTAGGAACAGGGCACTACCTTGCTGTGCTCCTTGGAGTCGTCGGCTTTCACGGCAATCTTGACCCCACGCACGCTGATCTCCAGGACGCAGCTGGAGGGTGGATTAAAGTGCACAGTGAGGCGGCGCGTGGTGGCAATCTGGGGGGAAAACAGAGACAAAGCCCTAGCACTCGTGAGCAGTGATGATGGCTCACCCTTTCCCCTTCCCTTTCCCCTTCCCCACTGAGGCTCTGCCCTGCTGCCAGAAGCAGGCACTCCTGCTCCCAGGGATGGAGTGGGACACTACCTTCTGCATGGCCGCGCACAGCACGTCATTGCCCTTGTGATAGGGAACCTGCACCGAGCCAAGGAACTTCACCCGAAACTGGTCCACCCAGTCACTGCTCTTGGCCAGAGCTGGAAGAGAGAGCACACAGCAGGGATCATCTCTGGTGACGGGGAACGTGGGCCGAGACCCGCCTCCCTGCTCCATATTCCCAGCCCTGCATATTTCCCTGCCCAGGGAAGGCTTCCTGCAGCACCGGGTTCCAGCTCCCAGCATTGCACCAGAAGCTGCCCATCACTCCCTGCCGGGTGCCCAGCTTGGTCCTCCCTCCATCCCCCTGCTCAGCACCAGGCTCTGCTCAGCAGAGAGGAGGTGGACACAAGACAGGGGACATCAGCAGGCTGCACGCAGAGGACTGGTACCTGTTACATGGTCTGGGTCCTTGGTGACTTCGATAGCATAGTAGGCAGGAAAAATGCCCCGGTCACCCGTCCGCATGTTGTAGGCCTCGTACCAATAATCTTCTGCCTGCACCTCCACCAGCAAAGGATCGTCCACCTCCAGTTCCAGCTCATCCGCATGGCGAGGCACAAACCTGGGCAGGGAGGCACTAGCACCTGGCCGGCCAGCAGCGCTGGTGGCCTTCTCACCGGCACACTGCTGGGGCAGGGGGCAACACAAAACCTGCCACCGGCCCAGGCAGGCAGCACCATGGCAGGTGTAATTAGCCATGGGGACCTGAGATGCTGAATAAAGCATCTGAGCAGGTTTAGGCTCAAAAGGTGGCAGCACCCTGGCACCTAAGGCAAGAGTATCCCTATGGCACCACCCATGCTGCTCCCCAGAGGTCCCAGCTGCCCTCAGAGGTCTTGCCCCTGCAGCACCCTGGGCAGATGTCACTCCTGGGCAGGACATGAGCTATGGGCAGTGGTTTGGTCCCTGGAGCTTCCCAAAAGCTGGAAACACTGGGGTTTGGGCTGGCCCCACCATGGTGGTAGGGCAGCACTGGCTTTGCCCCATGAGAAGCTGGGGACACCGCTCGCTCATGCAAGCTCACCTGAAGACAGCACGGTGGGTCTGCTCCTGCTCCTCACCATTGATCACACAGGAGAACAACCCAAAGGACTCGGCACCTGGGGACAAAGGCAGAGGGGGACATCTCAGCGTTGAGGGGTCAGCACCACAACTAAGGGATGGACATCAAGCCAAACAGGCTCCTGATGCCCCTGGGGGATCACTGGGCTGAGACGAAGGTGCGTGATGCCGCACGAGAGAAAGGCATGGCTAGAGCCACCACACTGGTGTCCAGTGGTCCCCACTGGGACCACGACCTCCCTGCGCCATCCTGCACAGCTGTGACAGCTGGTGCCACCAGCACTGTGGGACTGGCCATGCCGCAGGAAGCCATGCCTGCCGGGGCGTGCCACCAGCCCTGGTGTTCCTCCAGGCTCAGGGAGGAGGGGGACACTCCAGAAATGATGCTGTCCCACTGTGAGACCATGCAGCCTTCAGTACCCTCAGCACAGCCATACTAGCCAAAAAAGCAGCCTGAAACACCTCTGGCCACCCCCACCTGCAGGTCACACCCCGCCGGCGGGGCACAAGGCTTTTCCGAGGCCCCCCCCCCCCGCCCCCTGCCACCAGGGACGAAGCCACAGGCTGTAGCAAGCAGAGCTGGGGCTGGTGCCTGCTGGTGGCCCCCCGCCTCGCTGCGGGGCCATGAGCGTGCCCTCAGCCTCGTACCAGGGACAGGCAGGGCTGCCCGGGCAGGCAGCCACCAGCCCACCTCCCCCTGGCACCCAGCACTCACTGGAGGAGCGCGCCCGGCCGCTCATGAAGACGTTGAGGAACTTCTTGGAGAAGTGGATGTCTGCCTCCGGGGTGGAGTCCTCGGAGAGGCAGACCGAGTCACGCTTCAGCGCGTCCTCCTCATACTCCTCGCCGATGGCCGACTCGTAGGGCGAGGAGACACAATTGTCGTAGACGGTGGCCGAGTCGCTCTCGTCGCTGTAGCCTGAGTAGCACTGCTTGAGGCTGACGAGCTCCAGCTGCACGTTCTCGTCCACCACCAGTGTGTACTTGACCGAGTCGTAGGAGAGGGCGCTGGTGTCCGAACTCACCGAGGCTCTCTGAAGGCTGTGCCCGGGCCGGCAGCCACCGCTCCCGCCACCGCAGGAGGCCCTGGGCAGGTTCATCTTGTCGGGGGAGGACATGTAGTCCAGCACCTCGTCCTCCTCGCTGATGGAGGGGTTGGTTTTCCCCACCAGGGCCGAATAGCCAGAGGTGTCGATGTCAGAGCTGATGGACATGCGGTTCTCACTGGACTGAGACAGGAACGGCTTGTCCGTCTCCAGGGGGTCCGAGTTCTTCTGCACAGGCGTCAGGTAGATCTCCTCTGTGGCTTCCAGCCTCACATCCGTCTGGTAGCGGATGCGGTCCCGGTGGGCCTCGGGGCCTCTCGTTGTCACCACCACCACGCTGGCGCCGTGTGGTGGGGGCCGGCTGGTGGCCTGGTGCTTCTCGGGTGGCCGGGATGAGGCAACACAGGCAGGTGCCATCTGGGTGGCCGCTGTGCGCCGGCATGGGCTCTCTGTGGACGTGCCCCGGTCTTTGGTGGAGGTTGTGCTGTTTTGGTGATTGACCTCATCACTCAGGCAAACGTGGTCGTGGGGAGGGGTCTGCTCACCTGGAGGGGGAGGAAAGCAGCATTGACAGCCCCGCAGAGGGTGATAGTCCCTGCCAGGGAAGGTGGCCAGGGATGCCACCCAGACTCAAGATGGACATGCACCCTGCATCCATGTGGGATGTTTCCCCCAACCTCCTGCTCTGGCACCACTTGCCCCAGGCTCCCGAGAGCCACAAAAGGGTGCAAGGAGCTGCCCCTGGCCAACAGCCCGAGAACTCACCCGTTTTCAGAGGGGACGATGACCGGGACACCCGCTCCTGCCAACTGTGCTTTTTCCCCAGAGAGTTGTTATTCAGAGTGTCCTGAGGAGAAGAACAAAGCCGCCTTGTAGCCTCAACAGTAAACAGCGCGTGGCGCAGCGGCGGCAGCACCCATCCCTCCCCGGATCCACAGCACCCTGCTTGGCTCCCCCCTCGCCTGGGCACACCAGGACACGTAGTGCTTAGGGGGACCTGCCTGCCAGCCCCACACCTTGCCATGCCGCTGCTGCGAGAGCTGGCCCGGCGGCCAAAGCAAGGCGGGCAAGGAGCCAGCTGGGAGGCAGATGGCCTGGCCTGGATGGATGTACTTGTCTGCCCTGGGGAGGCTTGGATGCAGGAGCCCACGGCTGGACGGTCCCAAGCCAAAAATTCAAGACCTGAGCCTGCCTGGAGCCCACCTAGGCTGGGCAGGCATGCTTTGCTCCTACCTACCTTCAAACCACCCAATGTTATTAAATGGGGTAAGTCCCAAGGGCCAGGGGTTGTGCTGCTGCCCAGCTGGGAGCCAGCTACTGGATAGACTGACATCTGCTACTGGAGTCATCCATATTGGGTGTATATAGGGGTATACATATGCACACACATATATGTATGGATACATATCTATACATGCAGACACACTTTTTATATATATATATATATATATAGTCCACTAGCAGATGTCAATCCTGATCAGCTGGAGAGGCGAGGCAGGATCAGGCCACCTGTGCTGCCCATGCTTAGGTGAGTTTCCTTGGGTGCTGTGCCCTGCCTACCTTGCCCTGGGTGGCCGGCCACGCTTGTGCCACATGCGTGTGTTCCCAGGGGAACGTGTGCTCAGCCTCACTGTGAGACCTGGGGACAGGGAACCGCAGCAGGCTCATGTCTGCAGGGCTGGGAGAGGAGCCCTCCCCGGTCCCGAAGGCCACTGGTCCCCCTCCAACAAGGGCCCTCTTGCAGATGGGGGACAAGTCCTCCCTGCCCATCTTCGCAAGGGTGTTTCTCCCCCAGCTGCAGCAGCGGCATTTTCCACATCGTTAGTTTTTGCTCAAGTACTAAGCCCCGTTGGGACTCCCTGGATTTTCTCACGGCCTTATCGCCAGCTTGCAGCTATCACCAGCAGCGCAGGAGCTGCCCTGTACTTACTTTGCTTCCCCACCAACACGAAGCAAGCCTTTGCCCTGAAACTCCACGGAGTCACACGGCTGCCAGATCCCTGCCTTCACGCAGGGAGGGGAAAGACCCCCGCCACAGGGCTTTGGCGACCTTCCAGCACGGCCTCCGCGAGCCCCTCCTGTGCCAAGGCAAATAACGGCGCATCCCTGCTTGCCTTTCCCAGGGACACGGTGGGCCGGGACGCGGGCCAGGCGAGCTGCCGCAGTGACAGCCTCTGCGTGCGAAGTGCCACGGGGCCAGCACACGAGCCAGCCCAGCTGCCTGGACCAGGGCAGGAGGCAGCAACACAGCAGGCAGAGCCCACCCATCCCGCAGGGCCAGGGCATGCTGGGGTCAGTAACACCCAGCCATGGCGGAGAGGCACTCACAAGGTCTTAGAGGATGAATCTAGTCAGTCCCAACAGCTGTTTCTTCCCCTCCTAGGAAGTTGGGGGGGATGCTCCTCTCATCCCGGGCCACCTACCTGGGATGACTCTCACAGAGAGTGGCAACCAAGACATCACCAAGCCAGCTCCTAGCCCCGCAAGGAGAAGCTGGAGCAGAGGGTGGGACGGTGCCCTGCCCATGCACACCCTGCCCAGCACGAGGAGGCTGGAGGCACGGGAGGGCAGCCTGGTGTCCTGGCTGGGCATTCAAGAGAGGACGCATGGCTACGGTCCCTCTTCTGACCACCTGCAGGAGGAGGGAGGCGGGCAAGCCAGGAGGGTGCAGGAGGGTCTGGCACAGGTGGAGGCAGATCTCGGGCCGATCCCCAAGGGATGCTCTGCACCTTGTCCTCTCCTCGGGGCACTACATGTGGGCAGGGGCACCTGCCTACCTGTGGCCAGAGGCAGGCATCCAAAACAGGCACCCCAAGCACCTTACAGCCAGCCTGCCTCCGGCACTTCTCCTGCTTCTTGATAGATGCCACTGACAGCACCACCCTCCCCGTTCAGCCATGCCCCAGCCCTGTGCCTCCATCCCCCTCCGGGCTCCCACTGCCAGCTGTGGCAAAGCCCTCACCTCCTGTTCCCCATGTCCTCACCTTCAGCCATGCCTGTGGCCCCGCAGCCTCCAGCATTCCCCTGCGAGGGGACCATATGCTGCCACCCCTGGACACTGGTTGGGACCGGCTGCCTGGGAGGGGGGCCCTGCTGTCCCCCGTCACCCCAGCTGGATGTGGCTGCCACGTGCCACTTGCTCCTCGGGGTCCCTGTGCAGGGTGGGACAAGGCTGCTGCTGTCCCCTTGTCCATTATGCTCGGTGGGGCTCCCCCCGCCTCCCCAGCCCTGTTGCCTTTGTCCCCAGTGCCAGCTGCCCTGAGGGCGCCCATCCTGGCTCTGTGCCTTCCTCGTCCTCCTCCTCCTCCCACCCGTGGCCTCAGGCAGAGAGCTGGCATCAGCTGCTGGTGCTGGGCTGGTGACACCCAGCTCTGACTACTCCCCATCTGTCACCCACGGGGACACCTGCCTCTCGCTTCGTGCTCCTTGGCTGAACGTCACCAAGACGAAAATCCTCCTACTTGGCAGAAGGCATGGCTGAACGCAGGAGGGTGGCAAAAATAGCCCTGCGCCTCGCGCATCTTGCATGCGTTCATGAAGTTTGCAGGAGAGACGGGGCAAAGGGACTCTGGCTGCCGCGCAGAGAGCCAGGGCGCGGGGCGCCGAAACGCCACCTGCCCTGGGGATAACAGCAACCCCAAGGCTGCGTGGGGTGGGCAGTGTTGGGGAAAACCATCCAAAACCTCGTGCAAAATCTGAGAGCAAGTGAGACAACAGAACCCCCTCGTCCTCCCAGCCACCATTTTGGGCGTTGCCAGTCTGTCTCTTGAATTTTGCACCGGGCGCTGACATTAATGCTTCTTTTGCCGGGCGCTGCTGCTCAGGAGCGGAGGCCGCTGAGTCCCCACTGCTGGGCACGGGGCACCCAGTGTCACCACCCTGCCCCGGGGCTGGCGCTGCCCTGGCCTGGGGCTGGAGCCCTGCCAGCTGTTGGCCAGCAGTGCCGCCGGGGGCTCGCCAGCCCCGCGGCGTGGTGCCCTGTCCCGTGATGGCTCATTCATGCGTTCGGTACGCCATGCCTCATTCGCCCTGCATCCCCACGGGGTCCCTTCCCCGCTCCCACCCTGCCCCTGCCCCACAGGCTCTGCTGGGGGCACAGCCCAGCCCTGCCCCACTGATGCCCCGGCCTGGCCTGTGCCCTCCCCGCCCCGGCGGCAGGGATGGAAGAAGGACCCACCCGGCCCCTAGGCCCCGCCATCCGCCCCCGCCGAACG